AGAGAGAGAGAGAGAGAGAGAGAGAGAGTGTGTAGACACCAGTGTTATATGCCCTATGTAGTGAGGATGTATAGGTAATATGGGTTGATCTGGGACACAGTCTATTTGTAAGCTAAACACTTAAAAGTTACATTTATTATTATTAATTTTAATGCATGATATACAATTTTAATATTTTATGCATTAATACATTATATAAAAATGTTTAAAAAATATATTTAAAAAAAGCTACATTTTGGATTTGTTTATATTAAAATGGACTTATTTTTTATAGTCAGGCTCCAAATATCACTGATTTAAAAAAAAAAAAAAATTCATTTCAGTTAAAAAGATTTAATTAGCTTTTGTTATTTTACCTTACTTTGACTAGCTTTCTGGCATGATTTAAAAAATGTACTTTCATTCTTATGTTTACACATATATTTTATATACATATACATATATTTTAATATTTTCTTCTTTCTGCTATTATTTATTTATCAATATTATTTACATATTATGCAGTTTCACTTTTGACTACATTTTTGTTTTTCTTCACATTATAAAGCACTTTAAAAGTATGAAAGATGCTAAATGAAAAGTGTATTATTTATTATCATTGATCAATAGGAGTATGAATATGAAGCGGATGTGTAACAATAAGCGAATTAAACACACCAGACGGCCAACGTCAATTTCCTTCCAAAATCAGTTTATTTCCCACTTATCGACTTGCACCCTTTTATTTCGAAATATTAATGTAATGTAAAAAAAAAACCAACAACAAAGAAATAACATAAAAATTGGTCTTTGCTTTGAAAGTACAACCAAAGACGTGTGGAGCACAGAGCAAACATGGCCATCTCTGCACATTAAAAAAAAAAGATACAGGCAATCTGCGAAGAACAATTTTTTAGTCTTAAAACATACTTCGAAAGCGCTGCAAAGGGCAGGTGATCTGCACACATAAAAACAGAGCAAGAACCACAAATACTAATCATTCTAAGAGTGCAGGAATTTCAGTGGAAAGGCTGAAAGCACATTGTGGCTGCTCAAAGGAAATAAAAAATACAAGACAAATTAAGCGCATACTCCGGGAGAGGGATA